AATTGCTCATTGGCAAAGCTGGAAAGCTCTCTGCAGACCTAAATGCCTCGGTGGTTTGGGTTTCAGAAATTTGGAGGTCTTCAATGAAGCTCTCCTAGGCCGACATATGGAAGGGCTAATTTGGAGTGTTGGAGACGGTTCCAAGATAGACATATGGAAGGATCCTTGGGTTGCGGATGAACTTGGCCGTTTCATTACTACCCCTGCTTCGCCATCTTTTAAGCTTGTGCATGAACTGATGAATTCAGACTGCAAGGAGTGGAACTATGAGTTGTTTTCTGACCACTTTAATGACAGAGATAAGAGATGCATCATGTCTATTCCAATTAGCGATCGCTTACCCCTTGATTCGCTTACTTGGGCTTTCTCCATGGATGGCAAGTACTCGATCAAAACGGCATATATGCTGGGTATGTCCTGTGATTTTGACAGCTTTCACAAGGCGTGGGTGGCAGTCTAGAAGCTTAATGCAATTCCGAAGGTTAAGCATTTTATTTGGAGAATCTGTATGGGTACAATATATGTTAGGGCGCTGCTCAAAGCAAGGCATATGTGTGATAACTCCCTCTGCCGGTGTGAAGAGCTGGAGGAATTAGCTAGTCACGCTCTCTATGAGTGCAGGTGTGAGCGTGACCTTTGGAGGGAATTGGAGTGTGAAGAGGTTGTGGAGAAGTGGGGTGAGCTGAGCTTTGCGGATTTGGTTGTTTCTTGGAGCAAATTAAATGAGAAGAAAGTGCAAATGGGTGTGATCCTAATGTGGAATATTTGGCAAAGACGAAACGAGAAGGTCTTTAAAGGGAAGGAGGTGTCTCACTTCACCATAGCTGCTAGGTCGAAGCGCCTAGCTGATGACTACAAAACCTACACTTAGCGTATTTATGGAACCAAAGCTTCTCCCAGCAGCACCGTAGGCTCAGATGCTAAGGTTTGGCAGCCCCCTCCTCTGAATTTGATTAAACTTAATTGTGATGCTCATATTTCTAGTGATGGGTGGATCGGTTTGGGTGTCGTGGCTAGAGATTCTCAGGGGAATGTTTTATTTGCTGCAACTAGGCGCACTCGAGGTTGTTGGCCTCCTACAGTTGCGGAGTGTAAAGCAGTGGTTATGGCTGCCAGATTAGCTCACCGATTCAACCTCAAGCATGTCATTCTTGAATCAGATTGCAAGGAGATTATGTCCCGCCTCTCCAAAGGAATGATTTATTACACTGACCTCGATTCCATTCTTGAAGATGCTCTCTCTCGGTGCTCTAATTTTGATTTTGTTACTTGGTCACATGTTAAAAGAAGTGGTAATTATGTTGCTCACCACTTAGCTAGAGTAGTGCCGTTTGGTATAGAACAAATTTGGGAGAATCACTGTCCCTCAGAGATTGCTCCGTATGTTTTAATGGACAATTTGTCCCATGATTAATAAAATTGGCACTACTTTCCTTCAAAAAAAAGAAAAAATATTCACATGAATATATTATGGTATTCAAAAATATTTTTTTTATTCAAATGTTTGCCAATCTAAGATGAACTTTTCATTCTTCAGTATATTAATTAAGCGTTGAACATATTGTTGGAAGAAAGTAACATTTTTGAAATATTCTTTCTTTATTTGATTATAGTTTGAAAAAAAAATTACATTAAAAATAAAACAAAAAAAAAGTGTGCTTCATGCGTGACTAATTAATATTTTGAGGAAGACTAATAGCTCTTCAATCAACCATTTATCTACATCGTACATACATATGTCTCATATGAGTTTTTAAAGATTAGGCTAATTGGTCCACTTGATAAAGACTTCCTCTATAACAATTAACAAACTACGAGTATGAAATAATAGGATAAAGTAAATATGGTATTTAAAATATGCTAATAAGCTAAGAATACGTAAAAATATCCTATAAATGGTAGTATATATTTTCCGAAGATATAATTAAAAAATTTACCATGTATGACATTTAACACAATTAATGTTTACACACCATTATATATAGGCACATAATTTACAATATGTAGTACTTGTATTTAATATCTATATTAACAATGACATTCACTATGAAAAGAGATATTACCCCACTAAAAGAGAGTTGGAAAATTAGGGTCAAAATTGTGAGACTCTGGCGTAAACCCGATTACTACAAGCCAAACATAACTAAATCAATTGAGTTAGTTTTGGTTGATGAAAAGGTAAATTCATGTAGTAAAGTTTAATATTGATTTTATCATAGCATCAACAACTTCCTTTATAACTTCTATATACTTACGTGTATTAATTTTATATTATAGGGTGACAAAATTCAAGCCAATATCAAGATGTCTCTCTTAAAGCGATTTGAAAGTCTTGTGAAGGAGGATTTCACATATGTTATTTCTAACTTTGGAGTGGTAGACAACGTTGGTAATATTAGAGTTACTAACCATACTATTATAAGATTGATTTTTTTTATAGGACTTCGGTTAAAGATTGTGAAGATGCAGGACTCTCGCTACATGGACTTGATTTAGTTCCTTTTGAAAAATTCGTCAAAAAGAAGTTAATGAAATATTTTGCATAGGTAAGATAAATATCATTACCATACACTAATTATTTTTGTAAGAATATTATTAATTTTGGTATACTAATACATATATTTTTATCAACATCTTTCTTACATAATAAAGATGTTATTGGAGATGTTATTGGAGTAGGTGATATGATAGACTGATACTACTCCAAACTACAAGTTGCCTATTGAATTGGAAGACTTAGGCCCCATTCTTTAGAGCTGCTCTGCTTCTGCTCAAATCAAATCTGCTCTGCTCAAAAGAAATCTGCTTTGCTCTGCTCTATTTTCAAATAATAATTAATAATAACAATAATAATAATTAATATTCAATAATAATAATTAATATTGTATTGATGATAATAATTTATTATTTTGAATAATTATAATAATTATTAATGTTAAAAATAATTTTAATAATAATTAATATTAATAATAATTAATATTTATTAATCATAATAACAATTAATAATAATCATTATCAATAATAATATTGAATAATTCAAACTATTAAGAATTAATATTTAATAATATTTATAATTAATAGTTTCTAATAATTATAACAATTCTTTCAAAAACAAAAATAATAATAGCAATTAATAACAATTTCTTTTATAAAAATTTGATATTAGAATCACAATGTGTAGAAACATTTTATGTGAGTATTGATTGTTAGTTCATTGAGTTGAACTATTTTTCAAAATCTTTCCATACAGTTTAAGAATTTAAAAAAAGAGGTTGTTTTCAAGTGTTACTTTGTATATCATTATTATTTTTATGGTTAAAAATATATGATTAAGACAAATTTATAAGTAAAATCATTATTATTCATTAAATCATTTTATTTTAAATTTTTGTGAAATAAATATAAGTAAACCGTTGTCTTTTATCTTTCTACTATTAACATATGTTAAATATGATACACATATATTTATGTTTTCGCTCACCTAAATCAATGATATATGCACTTAATAATAATAATAGTAGTAGTAGTAGTAATAATAATAATAATAATAATAATAATAATAATAATAATAATAATAATAATAGTATTAATAATAATGTTGAAATCTGTCGGCTCTGCTATCCTGAAATCTAATCTGCTCTGCTCTGCTGAAATTTAATATGCTCTGCCCAGAAGCTCAAAAGAACAGGGCCTTAGAGTAAGAATGCATATTTTAATTATTTTAATTTATTACATAATTGTTCTTAAATATATATAAAAATGCACCATTCTTCAAGTTTAACGGATAATTTTTTTTTTCACAGTACTTGAATGAGAGTAATCAAAGTCGCAAAATTGTTGTCATGCAATTTGCCAAAATTAAGATTTAGAAAGGTAAATGTATTTTAGATGAAATTCCTTTGCTACTTTGCTAAAATATGATCATTAAGCGTTTAACTATGTATGACTTTTTATAATTTATGCGGATGAGATTACTTTGACAAATTCTTACTGTGCCACACGAATTTTACATGATCAAGGCATCCCCGAAATTAACGACTTTAGGGAAAGGTAAAATTGCATATGATTACTTTGTGTAAAATTTATATCTTCCTCAAAATTTTTTGCATAAATTTTTTTACCAATAATCTATTATAATTTCATGTTTTTTTTTTTTTTTTTTTTTTTTTTTTGTGTAGTATTGCTGATCAAGATGATATACATTCACAAAGGTTGACTCATATATCAAGTCAAAGTGCATACTCCATATCAGACAATTTTCTTAAATTGTATGAACGAAAACAATTGGATGAAATATCTAATTTTAACAAGGCAAACTTTTTACGTATGAAGATTTTTATACGATTCAAAATTTTTGTATAGTTGAATTTTCTATGCTGTCACGTATAAAAAATTTTTTATCGGATTTTTCACCAAATACTACTGAATTTAAACTTAATTCACCGTACACCACCAAAAACTTTGTAATACACCTTGTACCACTCAGTAACTGTACATTAACACGAAATGCCTTTTTCCTTAACTGTCGTTAGTCTGCCGTTTGAGGGAATTTACCAATTCACCATATACCACTACTGTTAAAAGTTATTTCACCATATACCATTATTTAAAAGTTATTTCACGACTTACCCATTTTTTTGTAACGGTAATATTTTTTTTAAAAAATAACCCTTGCAGACTTGTAACGGCTACTTTGTTTATATAAATGTAGTGTTTGAGGGAGATACTAATCAAGTCACAATTTCTAAAAGCTAGAGTAAAAATGTAAACAAACTTTCATTGCTAAAAGTAATATGCAAGTTTAATTGTTAGCTGTTTGTCTTCAAAAATTTTAGGGCTGCATGATTTTGCAATGGTTGTAGTACATTTTCTTGAAATGTAATAAACAAGTTTGTTGCAAAACAACAAAGTGCTTAACATTTTGTCCAAAAAAACCTGACACCAGTTTTAAATGTTTTCCCCCAAAAAATTATACATAATTTATGGCAGCTTCAAGGATTCTAACTGTCAGCCTTTTTCTTCCTCCCTCTTCCTTTGCGTTGCTGTGAACTGGATGTTGCATTTTCTGCTTGTTTTGATGCTTCCTTTCTTGCCTTACAGGTTTTTGCATTGTGTCCCAACTCCTTGCAAAGACTGCACTTGTTGTTCTTGTGCCTCTTTCCTTTTCTTGCTTCATGAGAGGCTCTCCTTCTCTGCTTAGCTGGTCTTCCTGCAGCTCTTTTGACAGTTGGTGGTGCTATTTCAGGAACATCAAATGCTGGCCACTGACTTGGATCTGACATGGGATGGATGTGGTCTCCATAAGTCAGCTTGTAAGCAGCTCCCTTGAAGTATGGTGACACATAATCTATAGCTTGAAGTCTTTGGCTGTATATGACCCTTAGACCATGTCTGCATGGTATTCCTGACCCTTGCCACTTCCCACAACCACAGGTCATTGTCTGAAGTGTCAAAGGGAACTTCACATGCCCATCCCTAACCTCAAACTCTCCACCATCAGCTGCTGTCACATGACACAATCTGGACTCCTCACTTCTTGTCTCCAAAACTCCCTTAGCAAACTCTGTTAGCTCATTAGGATCCATATCAATTGCTTTGTCATACCTAGAACCCATCCTTTTCATGCACCAATTCCTTACAGCTGGTTTAAGTCCAAAAAAAAAAAAAAAAAAAAAAAAAAAAAAAAAAAAAAACCAACACAAAGAAATCACAAACCATCAGAACATGGTGCTTATTGTTTAATCACAAAGAAAGTAAGGGGTCAGATGTTACCTTCCATTAAAGTCAGGACAGGAAAATCTCTGTTGTCCTTTGTACATGAGTTGAATGACTCGACAAAGTTTGTTGTGTTATGATCACAACAAACTGTTCTGTCAAACATGTACCTACTCCATTGCTCTTCAGTAGCTGTAAGGTAATCAAATGATGTTGCATCATATTTCTTGATCTTTGACATTGCCTTGTCATACACATATGCATTGTATTCATTGGCTGCAATCCAAAAGAGTTTATGAAACTCTATCCCACTCCACCCAGCTTTTTTGCAGTTGAGTACACATGCTGACAACATACCCTCCTAGTTGCTCTTGGGAATACCTCAAAAAGGGCTGATTCAACACCCTTCAACATACAAACACAATGTTAGTCACTGAAAATTAACAAAAGAAAGATAAAGTTTAATTATTTTAAAAAGCAAGAAACATACCTTCATCCTGTCACTTATAAAAGTCCAGTCATCCCTTTCAGATCCATATTGTGCAAATAAGATCCTTAAGTTTCTGAAAAAGTAAGTCCAGATGTCTATACTCTCTGTATCAACCAGACCATAAGCTATCACAAAAATCTCATTATTGCCATCAATGGACACTGCAGTGAGCATGACTCCTTTGTAATAGCCACTGAGATGGGCACCATCAATCCCTATAATGGGTCTGCAGCCACCCAAAAACCCTTTCACTTGAGCTGCAAAAGTGATGAAACATGCCTTGAACTTTTCACCATTGCCCCCACTGTCAGTCCAAGTAATGAGGGCATATGAGCCAGGATTGGTGGCCTTTATCATCTCAGCATATTTTGGTAACAGAGCATAGGACTGGGCAAAACCACCATGAATTTGTTCCCTGGCCAAACACTTCACTTTGTAAAACAGCCTGGAATTTACTTGGATCATAAACCTCTCCAGGCACATCCTTTGCAGTGCATCAACAGGGATATATGGGTTTGCTTCCAAATCTGGCCTCAAATGTCTACAAAGTCATGCTGAAGACACCATAGGATTCTCTTCCAGCCTCCCACAAGTTTTATGTTCCCCTTCCAATATCTTTATTGCCCAGCTGACTTTATCAACAAGGACTGCTGCATGAATCCTCCAACTGCAATCATTGATCAGACACCTTGCAGTATATCTATGATTGTCAGCATAGTCTACTGTCACAGCAAAGCCTTCTTGTATGTAAAAATCTCTGAAGACATCATGAAATTGTTCCTTGGCTTCAAATATTAACCAAGGTTCAAGTTGAATTGACCCAAATGGTAAGTTAGACCAGACCTTGCCATTTTTGTACAGCTTGTCTAAAACATGAGTCCCATCCAGGTAGTCTTCAAAAGTCTTCTCTTGTATATTATCATCTAGGTCTTCTTCTTCCACAATATACTCATCATCAAGGTTCAATTCCATATCAAAATAATCCTCAACTTCTTAAAATTCATAGTCATCATCTTCACTATCCTCAGAAGGCCATGGATCAGATTCACCATCACTATCCTCAACTTGCACAGGTTTTTTGCTCCTTGTATTCACTTCCCTCCCTCCTCTTTTATTCTTCACAACCTCAACACCATACTTTTTTGCTGTGCTTCTTGGCACCCTCCACTCTTTTGGTTTTACTCTAGATTGCACTTTAGGCTTGGCAACAGAACTAGAAGCAGCACTAGGTTGGGGTGGTGGTGGTGGGGGGGGGGGGGGGTGGTGTAGGCTGCTTGGCTTGGGGTGGTGATTCATGCATGTGTGGGTTATTTGGGGAAGCATGGTGTGTTGGTGTTGCTGGTGGAGAAGGTTCATTTTGTGAAGGTTGAGGTTGATAATCTCCTGGAAATGACTCATCAGCTGCTGCAGTGTTGAATACCTTAACATATTCAGTCTTATCTTCTTCTGCATTCACAACAGGGACCTCTACAGCAACAGTAAATGGTTCTTGAGCATTAAGCTCCTCCTCAACTTCTTCAGCCTCTGCATTTCTCCTTCTCTCTTCCTCCTTCTGCCTAATTTTGTCAGCCCTCATCTTCAAAGTTCTTGCCTAACTAGCTTCTGTAGACTGGAAGACAACAGATGGGTTTTCTGTCTCTTCTATGAACACTTCAATTTCATCCTTCCCTTCATTCCACTCCCACATTTTCAACATTGCCCCATCATCAACTAACTCTAGCTTACGATTAGTTCTAGGTTTACTCACAAACAAATTGAAGTACTTAGGGAGGAAAACATTCTGCTTTACTGAATCCTCAAACATATACTCAAACAACTCCATCAAGTTGGTCTTATCAGTTTCATCCACCCTAACATCAAAACTACCACCTGGCGAACGAACTAATAGCCACAATGCACTCATCCTAACAATGAATAATAAGCAACAACAATTAACATCACATCACCAGTTAACATCAAACTTAATCTAATCACCAGTTAACAACTTCCAAACTAATCATTCGGAGTTAACAGCATAACATCCAAACTAACATAATCATTTTCGAATAAACCCTAACCCTAACTCAATTTCGCAAAAAACAACAAAATCAGAGCTCGAAAATCAAATCAATGAGAAGAATATTACCTTTAGAAAGCTTAACCCAGCCCAGGTGAGAATTTCGAGCGAAATTCATTCACGAACAACTTCCTCTCTCAAACCGCACCAATCAGGTTCCGTGTTCAATCGAAAAGCCCTAATTATCTTCCTACTAGCAAAGTCTACTTTAGATCGAAGAAAGTTTACAGCTTTTGGATTGATTTTTGAGGATCAACTTCAATGGTGAAGAACAGAGAGAAGCTTCAATGGAAAGGGAAAATGGGGGGTCAATTTTTTCGAATTACAAGTGTGATGTTTGGGGGAGTCAACCCTATTGATGGCGCCAATTTGATGTATAAGGACAAATTGGTAAATTCCCTCAAACGGCATACTAACGGCAGTTAAGGAAAAAGGCATTTCGTGTTAATGTACAGTTACTAAGTGGTACAAGGTGTATTACAAAGTTTTTGGTGGTATACGGTGAATTAAGTTTAAACTCAGTGGTATTTGGTGAAAAATCCGTTTTTTTATGTAACAAAATAGGAAATCTGACAGATTTTGTATTGGTTTAATAAATAATTGCATATGATTACTTTTGGTAGAATAATTTTATGCTAAACTTTGAATATTTAATTAGTTTTATGCTAAAATAATTCATTTAGTTTTGATTTTTGTTAAAATTTTTATGGGGGTAAATAAGCTATCAATCAATCAATCAATGTCAATATATCTAATATATAATTACAGAGTCAGTTAACGAGAATCCTCCAAAACCCCAATGCTAAACTCTCATGCATTTAGGTTTTTTATTTTTTTAATTTTTTTTTATTTTTTTTATTTATTTATTTATTTTAATTGCTAAACTCTCATGCATTTAGGTTTATTTTTTTTTCCAAATAACTACCCATCCTTATCCCATACTTTATTTATTAATTTTAAAACTTTTTTTATAAAAAAAAACAATAACTACACATACCACTTTTTTTTTTTTTTTTCTTCAAGGGACTTCTACTAAGATTTCACTTTGTGTGTGTGTGTTTTTTTCTTTATTTTAACGTAGTATTATATATGTCATGCATTAGCACGGGTATATAATTCCTTTATCAACAATTAACCATAACACTCAAAATCCCCAACCCTAATTATATACACTTTTTAGGAACAACCCTCTAAACAACATCATTCTCTAATTATTAACACACAAAAATGTACAACATGCTTTTTGCGTGACTGGCCTCGCCGAATAACTGCTTGCAAAATATCAAAGTAACTCCTAGAGCATTGATGGAATAACCCTAATGACACTAACCGAGTAACCTCTATAATACTAAGCGAGTAACCTCTATAACTTTAACAAAGTAAATCCCATAATAGCTGGCCACATTGCGTGGCCACCGGTAAGAGTAAGACCATGTTCTTTTAAGTAGAGCAGAGAACATCAGATTTCAACGGAGAAGAGAATTGTCAGCAAGCCAGAACGAGTGTTCGCATATTACTAATACTCAGTCGCATAGCTAAGAATGTTTCAGCAGATCAAATCAAACCACAAGTACACAACAGACAATAACAACTCAAAAGAATAAGGTCTAAGTTAACATCAAAATCAACTTCCCGTATTTTAAATATATTTTTTCTTATATTATATATTTAATATTTCTCTAATATAATATATATCCCGTGCATTTTGCACGGGTACACTCTAGTATATTAAAACTCAATGGCAAGCATTAATATCTTGCCATTTGTTGTCAATTTCGCCACGTGTTGCCATGTCACCTACTATTATCAATCACCAATATTTCCATACAAAAAAATATAATTTGTTAGCATTAGTATTTGAGCCCATGACCTCATGTTCATCAAAATTAAACTTTAACCATCACTCCAACAATAAATCTTATGATAATAAAGTTGTTTTTTTTTTTTTTTGATAAACAAAGTTATATTAAAAAGAGTTATTCATGTTCATAAATTCAATTATTTAAATTGACAATTAACATATGTATATTTTAACAACAATATGATTATAAAGTTACTTCCCATGACCTCATGTTCATCAAAATTAAACTTTAACCATCACTCAAACAACAAATCTTATGATAATAAAGTTTTATTAAAAATAGTTATTCATGTTCATAAATTCAATTATTTAAATTGACAATTAACATATGTATATTTTAACAACAATATGATTATAAAGTTACTTCCCATGACCTCATGTTCATCAAAATTAAACTTTAACCATCACTCAAACAACAAATCTTATGATAATAAAGTTTTATTAAAAATAGTTATTCATGTTCATAAATTCAATTATTTTAATTGACAATTAACATATGTATATTTTAACAACAATATGATTATAAAGTTACTTCTTTCAGTTACTCAACCTTAATTCATATAGATTATAGTTAAGTAATTAAAATATGTAACCCAAATTTTAAATTAAAGTTCTTTCTTTTAACCACAAAATATGTTACTTGAAGGAAAATTTTTATGATATATAGCTGAAAAAAAAAATTCCTTTAACAAGTAAAACAAATTGATACGATATAACATTTAGGTTTTTGCATTTTAAATAATGAATTTTGATGTTCAATTATATATATAAATATTAACAAATGATATTCTTTTTATAAACCACAAGTATATTTTACTTTATTTTATTATAATATTTTTATATACAAACAATGACCCAGGCATCGCCCGGGCCAACAAACTAGTTTCTTATTGCTAAAAGCAAAGCATGTTCATAACCAACACGGAGGAAAGAAAACATCCAATTATGTGGCAATGCTCAAACCAATACAAGGTCTGCCAATCCAACGTCGAGAAAAGAAATCAATACTTATGAACAAGTATCCAAAAAGGGCAACAACAACATACCACACTTGCACACAAATTTACATTTTGGTAAGTTGATAATTATGAACGATTAAGATGTGTGAGTTTTATGCTTTATAATTTCATAGAAATTATTAATAACACGTGACATTCACTCTGATTCGACACCGGATACTATACCTATTCACAATGATACTCAAGAAAATCAAGGTATGTTACTATAATCATAAAAATAATAGAGTTTTGGTTGATTTCTCTTATGTAGATTTATTGGTGATGCTATAATTTTATAGTTTTATGCTTAATAATTTTATAGAACTTATTCTAATAACACGTGATATTCACTCTGATTCGACACCAGATACTATACATATTCACAATGATACTCAAGAAAATCAAGGTAAATTACTATAATTCATGAAAATAATAGAGTTTAGGTTGATTTCTCTTATGTAGATTTATTGGTGTTGCTATAATTTTATCTTTTATAAGAATTTCAGTTTAAAAAATTATAATGCTAAACACCAATGATTCTGCAAAAAAAAAAAAAAAAAATTATATT